AAAAATTGAGTTGTTTGTCAGTTTTCAAATGACAAATATTTTTTTATATATGCACTAGTGAATGAGCTGAAAAAATTTTAAAAATTTATATTTTTTTAGCCGACAGCACCATTTATTGCCGTCTGTATGTATGCGCTTTCAATTTTGATCTTAGTACTAACGTTTCCATTCTGCCTTCCATTCTGTGTCAAAGTCGCCAGGTAAAAGTTTTGTTCTACTTTCTATAAATAGACTGTTTTGTTTTACACTCTTCTGGTACTGTTTTATTATTGAGTACCACATTTTTTGATTAATTCTGATTTCTTACTAAGAGGTAACCAAGAACTATATACGAATAGGCTTTTTCAGGTTCTGAATTCAGAACAAAATTAGGTTTTTTTACAAAAGATGAGAAAAATAAATTTGTATTATTAGATTTCTTCTTTCCTCTTTTTTTTCTCCTTGTCGAAATCAGCAAATAAATGCGAAAAATTTGGTAATGCTCTGTTATGCACCAAATTGACACTTTTTAATGCTTACTTTATAAGCACTAAAGTTATTAATCGTTATCATTATTGTTTTTTCAAAATGCATTAATAAAAATCAAATTGGAAATTGATTGGTATTTCAGACTAGTTTGTTAATTTCGCTTTGTTTTTTTTTTTTTGAACAATCAAAATATCATTTGAATTGAATGCTATATTTTGTTTTTAAATTCTCAAAAGCCAAGAAGGAAGTTCAGTGGTTTAATTAATGTATAAATTTGTAGCTGTGAATTTTGCTTTCTAAGCCCAACGGACTAACTGTATTGGTGAAATCAATCACAAAAAAAAAGTTTTTCAATATAAAACAATCTTGAAAAACATTTTTAGAATTGAAAGGCTTGTAAAAATGGTGTCTGAATTAAAAACCAAAAATTTTTGCAACTTTTTGACGATAAGCTTGAGAAGTACAGCAGTCAAAATTTGTCGGTTTTTTCTCAGAATCCTTGCTGTGTAAACCAAAAAAAAATTTTGAATATTTTTGTTAGAGAACTGAAACAGCAACAAATAAAATTTTTTTCAGAATTATAATTTTGCCTGTTCTTAATTCAGTTTGTAGTCTCCTTAGCTGTTTTGATGATTTATTCAATGAACCTCAGGTTGCTTGAGGCTAATTGAAATTGAATTTTTTCGTATTTTGACTCAAATTTTACACGCCATAATTGTATTTTCAATCATTTTCAATAAATTTGAAAAATTTATTTTTCTTCTTTTTTTGTTCAAACACTGTGTCAATTGAGAAAAACACCATAAATTTTTTTTTTTTTTTTTGATTCAAAATCGGTAAAAAAATCTTACCTTGAAAAAAAATTTTTTTTGTTTTTTTTTATTGCCAAAATAGATTGTCAAAAATTTTTACTTTCTAATAATAATAATTTTTTTTGAAGAAATAAAAATTATTGCTTTTCTACAGCAATCTTTATACCGCATACAATATTAAAAGTAAAATAAATTTCTTGAATACGTTAAAAACTTTTCAAAACTACCTACTTCACAATTTCAATTAATCATATCACCTCTAAAACTGCAATTTTTTTAAAATTAATTATTGAATTAGTCTAATAAAAACTGAATGTAATAGTAATACCAAAAAGTAATTAAATTTGTTTTTCTTTGGAAAAGCAATTTACCTGACTTTTAGCTAATTTTAATGCAAAATTAAGCTAGTTTTTGTGCATTTAAAGTAATCTAGGTTCGTCATAAGTTTTTTTACAGGCAGCAATAGAAGTATTCTGAGAAAACAGATTGCAAACTACATCGGTCAGTAGTACTTTAGAAAAGTCATAACAATAGTTAATTAGACTTTTTATCACTCACCAAAGCGGGGCGTTTAACAAAGGTCTATGAATAAAAAAAAAGAGGAAGATAAAGAAACAAAAATAAATTTGTTCTTAAAAAAACTATTGCTGTTGGATGACCAGGAAATTAAGCTTTTTGGTGTTTACAGAGAATATGAACGAGCGGTAATAATGCGTTTGGGACGTTTGATTAGTGGTGGTACTAAAGGTCCTGGACTGTTTATGATAATGCCTTGTATAGACACATTCAAAATGGTAAGTTCTAGCAGTTTGAAAACTCAGATTATTGTTGCCAACCTATTAAATCGGATAAAAACAATTTGCGGGTGGCGTAGTCTTTTCTGTTGTTATTTTTTCGTACAAGAGTTAAAAGTTTTTTTATTTGAGATAACATACAGTTTGAGTTCGAAGAAAGCAGTATTTTTTTTTCGGAAAATTTCTATCAATTTTTATTTTATTGGATAAAAAACTTTGGAATCTAATAAAATTTTTTGAAATAAGGCAGTTATCTTTGTAAAAACTTGAACTTATTTTTGTTTTTACAACACTCTAAAATTGAATCAGAAAAGATGAAATTAATTTTACAGAGACTAGCTGATATTTTACGCTGTACTGATTGTTTATACAGTTTTTGAACTTTTTTATTGCAATTAAAATGGTCAAATGAGAATAAAATTGTTTTTTGCGTTGTCACATTGATGAAAATATTTGGACAACAAGAAACAGTGTTGTTTGCTGCATACTACAAAAAATGATTTTGATCAGTCAAAATAACACAGAAATTGGCTGTTTTTGACTTTTTAAGTTATGAAATTTTTCTATTTTTTTCATCCTTTTTTTCCTTTTTTTAGGTAGATTTACGAGTATTATCTTTTGATGTACCCCCACAAGAAATTTTAAGTCGTGATTCAGTCACGGTATCAGTGGAAGCAGTAATATATTTTCGTGTCAGCAATCCGGTAATATCGGTAACCAATGTTAACGATGCTCAATTTAGCACAAAATTGTTGGCACAAACGACACTACGGAATGTTTTGGGTACCCGTACCTTGAGTGAAATGCTCTCTGAACGTGATAGTATGGCAGATGTAAGTTTTTTTTCACAGAAACGGTTCAATAAAGTGCTTTTTTTTTACAGCACTAACATTAAGCATTTGTTCATTGTTGAAAAAGTTGTTTAGCTTTACATTATAAAAGAGAAAAAAAACGAACGGCACATAATCAGTAAAAAGTTGTTTAAAAAAAAGCATGTTGTTTGTTTGTTAATGATTTTGGATTAATCTTCTTTTTTTTGAAGTTTAAAATGCAAAATAAAAGAGTTATCTAATTACCTATAAAGTGTTGCAATCAGTCCAAAAAAATTAAACATGTTCAAAATTTTTCTTGTAATTTTTTAATCGGTTCTTTGGCTTTGTTTATGCTATTTCTTCATCTGAATTATGCTGCTTTACTATAATGCAATTATCAGTCTGTCTAATTAAAAACAAATTTGTTTTTGTTTTGCTTAGATAAAATATTGAGGAAAGAACACTATGCATTAGGGATAGAAATTTTTAAAATAAACAGAGAAGTTTCCAGTTTTTTTTTTTTTGAACGGAAAGGGTAGTAGAGCAATAAGAGCAATTCAGTTGATAACAAATTACTTTTTGGCTATTATATATATAAAAAATTACTGATTTGACCAATTGAAATAATCTTCTTTCAAAGTACACGGTGTCATAAATTTATAGGTAATAGAACAGGCATTAGCTGAAGGTACTGATCCATGGGGTGTTAAAGTGGAACGTGTGGAGATCAAAGATATACGATTACCGCATCAGCTGATGCGTGCAATGGCAGCTGAAGCAGAAGCAGCTCGAGATGCTCGAGCGCTTGTCATCCATGCTGACGGTGAAAAGCACGCATCCAGGTATTACAAATTTAATTTGTTTATCAGACCATAGAAAATTGTACCTATAATTTATAACTCAACGACAATTCAATACTCCATTATATCAGATAACTGAAAGCAAATTACAATGTTGCGCCAAAAAAAAACCAGTAATATTTATTGCTGATGATCACTGATACAGTAGTCATAATGTATCGTATACGAATGGTTATGATCATATAAACAAGAAAAAATCATAAATTCTATCTTATTTCGCATTTGTTTTTTTTTTTTTTTTTTT